TCTGCCCTGTTTTAAACAAATGCTTTTTCTCATTAATGGAAGCACTGAAGATGCTGACATTTGTTTCTTGCCCTCTCCCAGGAGTGGCTCACTTGTATGAGGAACAGAAGATGATTTTTTTCAAAACTATTCTGTTGGCTTTTCATTCAGTGAGGGACATGGCCATTTGCACCTCAACTTGAAAGAGTAAAAAGTGTTGCAGCGCTTTTTAGCACCTGACTTTACAGTCACGCTTATGCCTCACCCTTTGCTTTGTGCATGGGCTGGAGAGGTTTTGGTGGTGATTGAAAGAATTCAGAATCGGAGCACTGCTCAGCGTCCATCCTGGTTCTCTCATTAGTCTTTTGACATCTCCTCCAAACTGGAGATGATGTAAATGATGAAAAGCTTTTTTATTATTATTCTAAATTGTACAGTTAAATATTATTTAAAATAACTCAGTTTAAAGAAAAAAATGTTTAAGGAGGAAAAAAAATAAATCATAGAATGGTTTGGGTTGGAAGGCACCTTTATAGATCATCTAGTTCCAACCCTCTGGCCGTGGGCAGGGACACCTTCCACTAGACCAGGTTGCTCAAGGCCCCGTCCAGTCTGGCCTTGAACACTTCCAGGGAGGGGGCATACACAGCTTCTCTGGACAACCCATTCCAGTGCCGCCTCACACTCCGGAACAAAGTCTTCTCAGACTGGTTTACCTCTCGCACTTTTTCATTTGCTCCGAACTTAGACTTGATTTGTTCTCCTCCTTGGGTTCTGTTGATCTAAGTGGTTTTATGGCTACAGCCATCATCAAGACTTCCCAGGAGTCTTGATGAAGGCTGTAGCTCCTTCCCAGGAGGCTGTGCTTCAAGTTGTTTTTCTGATATCTAATGGTAATGTTAAGAATGCAGGAAATTCACTGCAGATGCTGTGCCTATCTCGTGTATCCCATCCAATCTATTGTGAACCTGGATAACTATCTCATCAGGCCCTGCAGAGCTCACCTCACACAAGTCAGAGAAAAGCAATGAGGTCAGTGCCAACACAGTCTGATTGCAAAACCCTTGTCAGTGGGACTGAGAATCTCCATGGCTTCACCTCTGCGAGACTGTGAATCTTAGATTTTTTTCAATAAAAGACATGAATGGAAAAGATTTTCTATTTTTCACCCAGAAATGAGGAGAACAAATGCTGAAAACTTCTCCTCAGCAAAACAACTCTCTTCCATGGGCATTTCAGCGCTGATTGTCCTCCACACTGAAGAATGTTGGACAACCAAGATCTGTCATTAAATTATCTTTGTTATTGCTACAGCTTTTTTGGAGACAAGCCTGTGCTAGCAATCAGGAAGCCTAAGCAGTTCTGATGCTCTTGGACCTTGTTCTGGCTACCCTGGAGAATTTAACAGCTAAATATATTCCCTCTAAAAAGTCTTTGGGGTTGTTGAAACACGTACAGAGTATGTATCATTGGCTGCTCGTTCTTGACAATGTCATGTAATTTTGATGTAGTCTTAGTAAATTGTAGAAACTGTTTGCTTTAGGAAGAGCTGTAAGCTCTTGTGGGAGGACAGAAGCACCAGAAGTGTAACATTAACATCCGTGCAGGATTTCAAACTTTCAGGAACTTCTCTTGAGATTTTCAAGCAGAACAAATTCAAACCCAGGCTTTGTTTATTAAGAGTGCATTGGAGCACTTTCTGCATCTCGTTTTGTTGTATCTTTGTCTGTAACTATTTTTCCCCAGATGTACTGCTTTTATGATGTCCATCAGTATCAGGTTTGTGTTTCTTGTATTCATTTTGTATCATGTGTTTTTCTTTGTAGCTTACACCAGGTGCCATTCCCGTAGGTATTGGGTATTATGTTTGCAAAATTACTTTTTGTTTGAATTGTGTGCTTTATTTATTTATTTCCCCTGTCCTCCTTTGTTTTTCTCTGCCCTGTCATTGTTTCTGTGGGACTGGGGCTGTCACTTGTTTTGTGAAGCCTGCAAAGAGCCCTTTAAACACATTGGACCAAATTTATTTAGGGTATAAAGTTGTACCACGGTTATGTTGTAATTGCTTTGTGTTCATTAAGTAATTATTTGTCTTTCTAGAAATCTGAAGTACTACAAAAAAGGTTTTTTAAATTTAAAAAGTATCTACTAGACAGTTTGAAGTGTGTAAACCATGTCAGGTTTCAACTGCATGCTTGAAATGGTCCTTGTAGGTTGCATGTATACTCTTCTGTGTGAATTTTGATAGCTTTCTACTTAATACTATATGCTAAGCAATTAGTCAGAGACAAGCTATATGATCCAGTAATATAGTCAGAATTCAGAAGTCCAGACCCCAAAACAGTTTAAAAAATTAAAGTATTGGTAATAGCATTGGCAACATAGATGGATTGTTTGCCACAATCATTTTCTCTCACAGTATCTGCCACATAAATGTTCACGATTAAGTCGAACAGACTTTTAGTAGAAAATGTAAAAGCATAACCATGCAAAGATTAAGGAAATAAATTGCTTTGTAGGTCTGACATGCATGGAAGACAGTAGAAATAGGCATCGATTGCAGTAAAGGCGATTTAACTTACACGTTAGGATAAAATTTCTGATACAAGAATATCTAAGGGATAGGATAGATTACTTTGAAGTGTGTGGGATCTCCATCATTGGGTTTTTTCAAGAACAAATTAGGTAAAAAATAGTGTTTATTAGTGTTCAAAATGGCATGACAAGCAAGAACTGTAACAACCAACCAGTGTTTTTGTAAATTAAATTTTTAACCGACTTTGTAGTGTCTACACAGTGAAAAATTATTGGCAATTACCTTCTGTAATTTTTTATGGAAAAAAGAGATTGCTGTTTGCATTACTAGCTGTATAATGAATTTTAATTTTAGTGAAAGCTGGCAAAGCTGCAGCAAAGCTTTAGGCAATAGGAAACCACTCATTTGGAACACTGATGTTTCTTTCCCATAGCTTTCAGCAACTGAAATGTTTTTTTTATTTAACTAGTATAATCTTAGCCTTTCAAAACTTGTGCTTCAGAGTACTTTGGATTGCTGAAATAAGTTGCTCTTTTACCTTCTCTTGTACTAATCTGTTCTCGTAGTTGTTCGTTATGACACTTAGTGCATGTTGGAGTTAGCTCAAGTGTTCATGTCTGCTATACTATAGGTATTGGTGAACTTTCCAGTGGTCTGTTTTCTTTTTTTAATTACACAGGAATGACAATAATGACAGGGCAGGAGTTAACCTTCTAGAAGCCTTTTGGATTCAGGTTGAGAAAATGTTCAGGACAGAAGAACATCATGGGAGAATTTATTGAATGCAGCTATTCCTGACTGTAGCATGTTCTACTCTGTGTGGGGCAGGTTCTGTAGAATTATGTTGGAAAGTAGCTGGTAAAAATAATTCGAAGTTATGCCTTGTGCAGCCACTGGATTTTCTGTTATGTTTTATTCATGGTACTAGACTTCTGGTTCCTTATTTCCACATTATTTGGGGCAATTCAAAACAGTTTTTTATAGGACTCATTTCCCAGCCTGTTGTGTTTTTCCCACTCACATTTGCATTC